CCACCATCTCTGGCACGGTGCTGCGGGGACCCAGGGACACTCCCGCCCCTTTTCTCTAGTTCCCGGAGGCCAGGTGGGCTAGGGTGCGGCCGTCGCTGTGCTGTGCGTCCCAAGGCCAAGGCCAAGATGCTCTAGGGGCGGGAGGTTAGGGTCTACGGGTCGGAGCGGGAAGCCACTGCACACTGGCAGGAGAGGACATCTCAGAAACTTGCTACCTCCACCCGCTAGGAGCTCCTGGACCAGCTTGGGGTTACCGGGGCAGCGTGACTCCCAGCCCAGAGGCCTCCAATGGACTGATCAAGTCCGCCGCGGCTCCGCTGGCTCTCGGAGCGCGTGGAGCGGGAGATGTGGGTGAGCGCCAGAGCCTGGGAGCCGGGGGCCGGGAGCTGGAGAGAGAAGCCAGGACCCACCGGCAGAGCCGAAAACAAGTGTATTCATATTCAAACAAACGGACCAATTGCACCAGGCAGGGAGAGGGAGCATCCAATCGGCTGGCGCGAGGCCCCGGCGCTGCTTTGCATAAAGCAATATTTTGTGTGGGAGCGAGCGGTGCATTTGCATGTTGCGGAGTGATTAGTGGGTTTGAAAAGCGAACCGTGGCTCGGCCTCATTTCCCGCTCTGGTTCAGGCGCAGGAGGAAGTGTTTTGCTGGAGGATGATGACAGAGGTCAGGCTTCGCTAATGGGCCAGTGAGGAGCGGTGGAGGCGAGGCCGGGCGCCGGCACACACACATTAACACACTTGAGCCATCACCAATCAGCATAGGTGTGCTGGCTGCAGCCACTTCCCTCACCCACACTCTTTATCTCTCACTCTCCAACCTCTGACAGCCCATTTTATTGTCAATCTCTGTCTTCTTCCCAGGGATCTGAGAATTGCTCTCACATACCAACCCAGCAGCGTCCGTGGAGAAAACTCTCACGAGCAACTCCCTTAAAATACCGTCATTTCAAACCGTTGTGGTCTTTAAGCAACAACAGGGAGGAAAAAACAAAACAAAACAAACAAACAAAACACCAAAAAAAAGAAAAAAAGAAAAAGAAAGGAAGAAAGGAAGGAGGAAAGAAAAAAGAAAGAAGGAAGAAAAAAAGCCCAACCAAACAAAACTCTTGACAGGAGCTTTGACAACGAAAGAAGATGCCTCTTAAAGGTGAGTCCGCTTCTTCTCGCTTTCTTTCTATTGCAAAATCAGGCAGGTCTCGCTCTATCTCACCTCTTCCTTACGCCCCACTCGCCGGTCCCCTCCCCCACTGCTACTCCGGGAGAGTTGGGCCAGAGAAGTTTCCACGCAGGAGCCCAAACTTTCTACTTCCAGCGAAAGCCCGCGTCGGAGGGCGACGGCCAGCGAATCGCAGCTGCACCGGGCTCAGGGAGGGCGGCCAGCTCAGCACCAGCGCAAGTGCGGCTGGAGCTATTAGGAAGAAGCGAGGCTCCAGGCGCCGCTGCAAGCCGCAGCTCTCCGCCCCAGCGTCTCCAAACGCTCCGGGTCAGCTGGTGAGGATGAAGAGACTCTGCGGTGCCCAAGGCCGCAGACAGCAGCCACCGCCGATGCTTTTGTCCAGCCCTGGCCGAGTCAGCGGGCAGAGAGCGGGCGCAGGCAAGGGAGCGCCCTGGGAGCGGGTTCGCCGCGCCGCCGCCTGCCAGCCCGCCTTCCCGCTTTGTGCAGCGGTGGGCTCGGTGCAGAACTGCCTAGGGCACTCCAGCGCCCGGGGGGGCGGGGGGGCATCACACTGGCCCCTAGCCCCAGCGTACTCGTTCGGAGCGGCAGCCGCACTCTGGAGCCTGTGAGAAACCGGGAGCGAGCGCCAGCAGGGAAGGAAGCCACTAGGCCGAGGCGGTGGGACGCGCGCTCCAAGGGAGCTCCGAGGAGATGCCGAGGCTGCCAGCTTCCTTCCACCAAGCTCCAGGGTTCTCGCTTAACTTGAGCGCAGAGCTCGACCCGCAAACTCTCTGCTTTCCTGGTTTCGCACAATCCTATCCACCTCCCTGAAAAAGCTGGGGTGTTCCCTGCCCTCTGGCCCCCAGGCTCCGGGTGGGTATTTTCCCTTAGTTTCCTCTGTCCAAGCTGTCCCCGCTGTTGCCGTTTCAACAAGTTCCGAGCTGGAGAGGTGGTTTGTTTCCCTCCCCCACTTAGAATCCCCAGATTCTTTTTTTTTCTTTGTGTGGCCTAAAGAAAATCTGTACGAAAGTATTGGCTGTCCCCCTCATCCGATCACGTCCTCTCCTAGCTAATTAGTCTGAGTAATTTGAGAGCTTTTGGTTTCTAAGACCCCAGGAGGAAAAGTGGCTTTTCAAAGTTCAGAAAGTTGTTGCCTCTTTCCCTGTGCAGATTTTCTCAGTCTCCCTGCGCCATAATAGCCTTGAATTTTAGCAAGTGTAATTGGGGGAAATGGAGTTGAATTTCAAGTGGAAATGCTTTCTTTTTGGAGTGCTAAAAAATCTGGCCTTTCATTAATGATGCTTTCTGGAAAGTTTAAAAACAAAGTGAATCTCTCTCTCTCTCTCTCTCTCTCTCTCTCTCTCTCTCTCCCCTTCCAAGCTTTCTAAGCCATTTTAGATGTTTAACTGGAACTTGGAAAGGTTTATGGAGAAGGTAGGAGTAGAAAATGAAATGAAAAGCTGAAATGCTTGAAAGCCTAGCAAGCTTACCAAGGAGAAATAATAGTTACCACTGATGTAATTTTTTTTCTGTAGCTGGTGACCTTTGCATATGTTTGAAAGCAATTCGATTAGTTATCATTTGGCCCTAGAGAGTAAAACTTTGTCATCCTAATTGCTAAGTAAGTACTCTAGGAGGGGGACCCAGAGGGGTGAAAGTGAGTTTGCCCTTTCACTCCAGCTAAGGAGTTTGGGGAAGGATTTTGAAATTTAAATAATAAAACAGCAGCAGCATGTGAAAGCTCAGGCTGGTGTTGGGGGTCAGGGAGGGAGGAGGGTAGTAGTTCAGTGGACTTGTGGACCAAGATCTGGTGGCCTTTGGGATTTCTGGAGGCTCCTTCATTCTGGATGCAGGTCTATGCCCCCATCAACCCCTTACAAAGCCTCAGGCTGGACTGGGAGCTTGGACTGCAGCCTTGGGGTCTGGCTCCTCTGAGAACATACTGCATCCCGGTATCTTGCTTCCCAGGGTGTTTTTGCAATAAGTGTTAAAGATTACTTAGGTAATTAGATACGTTCTCCGAGCAGAGGAGGGTGGGAATGGAGCAAAACCGGAACTTGAAATGCTATCACCTTCCCAGTTGCTTAGAAAAGCAATCAGCTAGGTCTTTCAGGGATCAACTAAACAATTTTCTAAAATGGCATCATGGAGGTACCAGCCAGGCTGGAGACGTGAGTTTGTGTACAATATGGGTTACAGAAAGGAATTCAGAAAGTTGTACTACTCTGTGTAGAATTTTGCTCCTCTCTATCCACCTGCTACCTTCTGCAGCTGTAGTCCTACATAAAGGTAGGATGCACATTTTGGTCAGGTTAGGGGTTTTGCCTGTTTAAGGCATGATCTTAGATTTAGGGGCTAAGAGACAGGAACTAGGCATTAGAGGGCAGACCACACCAGGGCTATCTAGTTTGCCTTCTGCTGTGGCCAGTATTTGTCCAGCCATAATCAGATGCTAAGAAAAAGTCCTCATCCTAGACTTGTTTTTATGGATTTAAGCTGCCTCTCGGTTAGTCAAAAAATAGATCATAAAGGGTCTTAGAGAGAAAAAATGTGCTTCTTGGAATTCTTTGGAGGGGAGCAAAATTAATTACCATCACAGACAAAAATGGGAAAAGGACTAATTTTTAAAAATAGAACAGAAATGATGCTGTGACTATTTCATTATTTTACCTTTTTTTTTTTTTTCTGGGCAAACCTCTTGAATGCACTCTTTATTGTAACTCTCTCTTCCCAATTGAGCTCCCCACAGTGCCCTTGTATCTTTTTACAGCCCTCTAACAACTCACACCAGTAACACAATTACCTCCAGATATTTATAACAAGAAATTACTTTTCTATTTTACGTCTTCGTTCAAGAACCTTCTTTTTAAGGGATGATTGGGAGGGGTGGTGGAAGGCAAGCTTTCTGGGGAACTGCATAGGGTCAGGACTTAAGAAGTGAGGAGAGTCCCTCTGTCCCCTTTGTCATTTGGGGAGTTGTCGGTTCCTTTGGTTGGAAGTGGTGTTAGCTGGTTAAGGAGACTCGGGTTTGCTCTTTGGGTTTGGGGAGAGCCGGAGAATAGAAGCCATTGTTTGCAGTCTGTAGGCTTTGTCGACTGTGCTCACCCCCTCCTGTTTGTACTTTTTAAAGCAGTGAGGCGAGGTAGACAGCGTGTGTCACAGTACAGTAAAAGGGAGGAAGATCTAAACACCAAAAGAGAAGTTAATCACAATAAATGAGGTTTAAGGTAAAAAGTTGGGCTCACCATTTGCAAAGTCCCCAAAGGGCTGAGAGACCGATGGAGAGGGGGTTCTGACTGGAAAGCTTTGGGAGGGGGCAGTGAAGGTTAAAAAAAATAACCAGAAGTTTAGTTCTGGAGGTCTTGCAACAGCTAAGGTGGTGAAATTCCTTATGGACAGAGGGAGAGAGAGTTTGACCTGAGGCTCTGACTGCAGGAATCTGTGCCTTCAGGTACCACAAGGTTCTTAGACTTCTCTTCACCTCCAAACTTCAGGTATTAGTTCCCTTTCCTTCCTAGCCCTGGTTCCGCTTCTCTCTCTCCCGGTCTTTCTTTGATTTAAGCCTTCCCCTTTTCCTGGCACTTGATAGTTTTCCAAAGTGAGACCTCCCCTACTCTTGGGAGTCTCAGTCTTTCCTAAGCCTAGCCAGCAACATTTTCCAGAGGCTGTCTCTGTGGGAGAGGCCACTGGAAATGTGGGGTATAATGCTGTGACTTTACATTTCTAAGGCAGAAGGGCTGATCCCTAGATCTGCTTTGTGTTGAGAGTGGGCCTCAGAAAATCCACCTACCTATACATTGGGGCCAGTTTGACATACCTTTTTCTCCTTCTGTTTTGTTGTAGGGTGAAGACTTTAACTAGGGGTGCGCAGATGTGTGAGATCTTTTATTATAAGAGTGGACAGATATCTCAGATTTCAGGCAAGTTCTGCAATGCTGTTTCCGGCTTCAAAACTTGAAAGAGTTTAAACAAACTGTAGTTCAGATGGAAAAAAAAAATCAAAATCAGGTCATCTATTCTGATAAAATGGCTAACTACTAAGGGATTTGGGGAAACTGATTGTGAATGCTGGATGATTTTATTTGAAGCCCAAAAGGTAGATTTTACATGCACTGGAGGTCAGGGCCTAGATGACCCTCAGACCGCCCCAAGTGCTTGAGTCCCTCAATTTCTAAGAAAAGGAGGGTTCTCCAGTCTGGGCACCAGGTCTTCCTCAGAAGGAGTACAGATCCACCTGTGCAGAATCCCGGATTAACTCTTATTTTCTTGCTAACAGAGTCCCAAATTCGAGCCCCGTGGGATCTGGAGGCCCCCCAGCCAGCGCCAGCATGCAGAACAGTAAGTGTCTCAGGTCTTTCCAGGGACTTGGGCTGAAGGTGTGCGGACCCGAGGCTCAGGGGAGCATACAGAGATTTGGGACCGCCATGCCCAGGCCATCCGGCGGGAGGGAGGCTTGGTGACCTGCAAGGGCCGCTTCGCGTGAGTGTCCCTAGCCTGGGAGGGAGGGCAGGCAGGGAGGCAGTCGATCTACCGTGTTCCAGAAGGGCAGAGGCTGGGGCCCTTCAAAACTGTTAGCCCGAGTTTTTGAAGCAGTGGTGGAGAAACCCCATCCCCCCCACCCCCAAATCCTGTAACTCATACCCCTCCCCGCCCCTGCCCGGGCTCTGACCCCAGAGAGAGGGGCTGGGCTAAGCAGGGCGGGGCGAAGGCTTCTTCTGGTTCAGCGTGGAGGCCCCTTTGGGCTTGGCCAAGACGCAAGGTCTCCACAGAGCCGGAGTTGGCGGGGGGGGGGGGGCGGGGGAGTTCCTCCTCTCCTCAATTTCAGGACCGCTCCTCTCTTCCCCGCCCCAGCTATGTGCTTAGAAGGGAAGGGGAGTGAAGCACCCAAGGCCTGTATGGTGGTGCGGTAGTAAACCGTAAGGCGTGGTGTAGAGAACAAGGTTTCCTGGGTCTGGACCGAGCGCGGAGGCTGCGCGGGCCAGGAATCGGAAAAGTCCTGCACTGGCAACTGCGAGGGTCCTGATTGTCCCAGACGCCCGGTGCTTTTGAATACCTGGCTTTCGTGCCTCTCTTCTTGCCCTTGGCCAGGCCCTTTGGGCTCCAGCTTTCCTGCTCACCCAGTGGGTGCTGCTATGTGGCAGAGTTAAGCCTAAAAACTCAGGCCTTTTATCCTGGAGGCCCGTTGAAATAAGGCGGAGTTGCGGGTTGGAGTCTGCACAGGCTCAAGGATACAACTATACTCTGGGTTTGGGAAAGGCTTAGGTCTCCTCGCCTTTGTGGGCTGCCGGTTGATGACCCAGGGTTGGTGGGCTCCAAGCTCAGGAAAGGAAGCAAAGGTGGGAGCTTTGTAAATGTATTTGTGCAGAACCTGTCAGATCAAAGGGCTTAGCGACAGAGGTACCCTCATTGGCGAAGCGAATACCTTGGAGCAGCAGATCTCCCCAACCTTAGGTTTTCAGGTGGGCCATGGCGCTCAGCCCCGTTTGACGCAGCGTCATGGCTGGCGGGCCCTGAGGGGCACGGGTCGCGGGCGGGCCTGCAGGGCTTTGTACCGCTGGTTCCCGGGTGTGCGCGAGGCGCAGAGCATCCAAATTGACACCATATGTTTTCCTATTAGATGATTTGCGGTCGAATTCTAGGCGCATAATCATCGCCACTGGGCGAGAGCGCTAGCAGTCCCTAGGGAAGGGACACAATGATTGAGGCTTAACCTCTAAAGGCGAACTTAGAGCTGAGCGCTCCTCGCTGCCATTTCGATGCTGGCAGAGGCCCCATGGCCCTCGTGTTTCTTGGGCCAGCACATGCCGGGTGCAGCTTCGGAGGTGCCCAACACGTTACTTTTTCTTTGGAGGAGGAGGAGAAGGTCTAGCATGAGGAGGCCTCACACACTTTGGTATCTGTAGATTGGGCATCGCCCTGACTATGCACTAAGTATGGAAAGTCTCCCTTGGTTTCTCTGGAAAGGTTCCTTTTGCCTCGAGGTGGGATTCCATGGCCTGCAAGGTAGATTGAGATTTAGGAAGCCAAGGTAGGCGATAAGGGAAAATTAGGAGAAACCGGAAGCGCTGGGCAGGCCTGTAGGAGAGGCGGTGTCCCCCTTGCAAAGTGCAATGTCTCGGCTTGCACTGGTCCGGGCCGGCCGGAGCCCACATCCCTAAACGCCTGTCACTTCACATCGAGTTGAGGCCCCGCCCCCCCTTTTGGTGAGCTATTACCCGCCCCCCGCCCCCAGCACCAGGCTTTGGGCTACCCAGAAAACGCGGCTCCCCTGGAAAGAGTGCAGTTCAATCTCGTCTGAGTGATCTACAAATAGGGACGGAAAGGGTCGTTTTATCACGGTCCCGTTTGTCGTGACGATGCAATTTCCAGGAGCAGAGCACTGTCACAAAGTGACAAGGCTGCCACAAGCGCCCCGACTGATCTTTTCAATTAGCCTTCCATGCATGATCCAGAGCGACTTCCGCCTATTTCCAGAAATTAAGCTCAAACTTGACGTGCAGCTAGTTTTATTTTAAAGACAAATGTCAGAGAGGCTCCTCATATTTTCCCCCCTCGTCTATATTTGGAGCTTATTTATTGCTAAGAAGCTCAGGCTCCTGGAGTCAATTTATCAGAAGGCTCCAAGGAGAGAAGAGGAGAGAGGAGAGGAAAGCGGAGCTGGGAGCCACATCTTCTCCTGGGAGGGCTGCTGTCTAGAGTCGGGGCTGCAGGTTGGAAATGTTTGAGGAAGTGGAAATTCGGACTGGCTTTATTTGGGTGCCTGTGGTTTCCAAGAAGAGGGACACAGGAAGGTGCCCCTTCCCTCGCCCTAGTTTTTGACCAGACAATGGGCTGAGGTTATGAGATACGAGATAAAAGACGGGGATTGGAGACACTGTGTTGTAGTGTTTTCTGTTTTGGGGATTGTGTTAATATTTGTGTCCTTGACTGAGGGAAGGGCGGAGTTCAGTAACAGAAGTGAAGCCAGTGGTGGAGGGTAGGAAGACTCCAAGCTCTGTGCACTGCTCGGGAAGGCAGACCACTGTACGGAGGGGATTTCAACCCTTATGCTGGCCCGGGAGATGCTGATTGGGGTTCACTAGCTACAAATTTGTCTTTCTGGTTGTCTTCTGTCTGTGTACACATACACAAATATCTACTATATATCTATATCTCTCCATATATAGATATATAGATATCCTAAGCAAAACAAACCCAGTGTTGTGTCCAGTCTGCCTTCACCAGAGTTAGATGATAATACAAAGGTTTCTTGACTTCTACATTCAGCCAAGCTGTGTAGGATTTGGGATTTGTTGTGCTGTTCCAACACTGTAGAGACTTCGGTGTTGGCTCTGTGGACTCCCTGATTTGTGGTGACACTTAAATGTGATATTTAGGGAGGAGATTTTTAGAACCGGTCCTTTGTGCCTTGTGGGTTCTGAGGAGGGCTGGGTGCTTATGAAGGGGGCAATGGGCTGGGGCACTGCTCTGGTGGTGGCTGTACTGGGTGTCTATGTTCTTGTTTCTTGTCCTGGGTCTGACTCTGGTGTTTCAATAGTTCGGTGGTCAGGATCAGTCTGTATTTGGGGTGTTATTCTAAATCAGGACCTGATCGCTGAGGTTGGCACAGGTTGGCAGGGAGCTGAGGTTGCATTGCGCTCTCTCTCTCTCTCTCTCTCTCTCTCTCTCTCTTTCTCTCCCCCTCCCCCTTTCTCCTCCTCTCCTCTTCCTTTTGCTTCTCTCTCCCTCCTTTTCTCAGGTCACAGCGGAGTGAATCAGCTTGGTGGTGTCTTCGTCAACGGGCGGCCACTGCCGGACTCCACCAGGCAGAAGATCGTAGAGCTAGCTCACAGCGGGGCCCGGCCGTGCGACATTTCCCGAATTCTGCAGGTGATCCTCCCTTTACTGTCCCACTCACCGCCCCCCATCAGCCCTCCACTCTCAGTGCCCTCTCCTCATTTCTTACTATAAACTCTGCTAATTATGGACCCCCCACCCTATTCCCACTTACCTCCCTACTTCTGGCTTTCCCCTCTCCTCGCACCATGTCCCCTTTCAACCTCAGTCAGTTACCTAAGATAATTCATCTGCTTTAGAAAAAAAAAAATGTGTGTGAACTAAAAAATATATCTTTTCATTTGGTAAAGACATTCAATATGGTAACAGTTTATGAACTGTAATGAGCTGAATTATAAACCAGGACAATTTTCATTCCTCTCTCCCCATCCCATTATAATCTCAGATTTTGGGAGATTTGTTTGCATTCTCCATGGTTATGGATTTTACAAGGCAAATGCTATTTACCTCTCTAACTTACATTTGATCAATCGGGCATATTTTTAAGGAAAAGGAAGTAAAAATTCAATTTATTTTCCCCTTTGTTCTCTAAAGCATAACACCACTTTAATCGAGGTCAGCACACAAGAAATTTAATCTGACTTCGTTTTGATGCATCTTCACCCAGTGTTTAGGAAAACAATTTAAACTTTTAAAACTCTTTTAAAAGATAATTCAGTGTTTGAAAGTATCATATTTGTAGTTTTAGGGCTACAAATGTAATTTTAAGAAAAAAGCTCTCTACAGTAAGTTCTCATACCATTGAAGGTATATTTTTGTGTTATAGACCCATGCAGATGCAAAAGTCCAAGTGCTGGACAATCAAAACGTAAGCTTGTCATTGTTTAATGCATACTTAAACAATTTTATTTTTGTCTTGAAATTATTAATAATGTGGTTTTCTGTCCACTTCCCCAATGCAGGTGTCCAACGGATGTGTGAGTAAAATTCTGGGCAGGTATTACGAGACTGGCTCCATCAGACCCAGGGCAATCGGTGGTAGTAAACCGAGAGTAGCGACTCCAGAAGTTGTAAGCAAAATAGCCCAGTATAAGCGGGAGTGCCCGTCCATCTTTGCTTGGGAAATTCGAGACAGATTATTGTCCGAGGGGGTCTGTACCAACGATAACATACCAAGTGTAAGTTCACTGAGAACATTTGCCCTCCCTGCCCTAAGCTCCCTGCTCTCTCCGAATCTTTACCACCTTTCTTTATTCCCTCCCACTCTTTTCCCTCCCAGTGTCTCAATGTCACTGTCTCTTCTGTGATTTGCACAAGTCTCCTCTGTACCTGGGGGTATTGAGAGGCGTGCCTTGACTTTTTGGCCATCTGGAAATGAGAGTCAAGTGTGGGGAGTTGTTCACTTCATTTGCATATTGCAAACCTGGGTTCAAAGGCACTGGGAAAAGGCACTTAAATTAAGAAGAGAAACGAAAATGAAAACCAGATTCTAACTTCCTCCAGAAATACCTGTCCGAACCTTTTTTCAGGCATTATACACCCATTTCTGCTCTAAAATAAAATCTCTAAGTCTAAATCTTTTATCAGGGAATATTTTAACAAAGCAAATCAACCCTTTGAGTTATGTCATCAGAGATGCCTAGAAAAGGTATCTTCCTCAGCCCCCAACTTTTTGATTCCTTACCCAGCTCATTTTCATGAGCAGAACGATAGCTGCCAATTCTTTCTGCAATATAACTGAAAATTCACTACCTATCCCAGGGTAGCTGGGAGCTTTTTTGTGTGTCACAGACCATCCTTTAAAGCTTGGGAGAGATGAGATGGGGATTTAAGACAGGGTGATTATGTCTTTTGGAGACACTACCATTTGGTTTGATTTTGGTTTGATTTGCAGGTGTCATCAATAAACAGAGTTCTTCGCAACCTGGCTAGCGAAAAGCAACAGATGGGCGCAGACGGCATGTATGATAAACTAAGGATGTTGAATGGACAGACCGGAAGCTGGGGCACCCGCCCTGGCTGGTATCCGGGGACTTCAGTACCAGGGCAACCTACTCAAGGTAAAACTCAAGCAGCTAACCTCCCATAATCTTTTCCTCCTCTGGGCTTCCAGTGCCTGGGGGATGTAAGAGAGCACTGCACTGGAAGGTTTGGGCACATCAGTTCCTACTTTGGAATTGGAGTCTGTGGAACCACCTTGTTGGCTCAGGACTATACATTACAAGAGCAGTATGAAGTGTCTAGGTGTGTGTGCCTGTGTAAGAGCCAACCTTGTGGTGCCCTATTGAAATTTGACATTAAAATGCAGGGAGAGCCCACTTGCAGTATATTTGTGACAAGTAACACACTGACAAACTGCAAGGTAAACATACTTGTATCATTTGCTTTTGCAGTAATTGACAAATCATGTAACTATAAGTAAGGTGGCATGAGAGAGTGAGCCCCCTACCCTACAAGGACCACCAATTTGAAGATGGGCATTGGAAGTGGTGGTCCCCTCCCCCAAGTTTAACAAAGTCAACACCCTCACCTCCACAGTCCCCTTCTCATTCTCTGTGGGTGGCAACTGTTTGGATGAAGTGGGATGAAGAAACTGAGTAGTATGCTCTGAGTACAGGGAGTGGCTCTGAGAGCTGAAGAGAGATTGTAACAGAACAATCCCAGGATCTGGGAAAGGGATCAAGGAAGAGGAGAGGGTGGGGATCTGTAGGCTTTCCCTTCCCCCTCCTACCAAGGTAACTTGGTCAAGAATAGGAAACAGTTTACTCCTAAGATTAATCGGTATTTGTTGTCCTCGTGACAAGGAGATAATATGCAGGATAATGGGACGTGCAGTCTCACTCCCGGAGCACGACAGAGCCTGGGGGCTCAGGCCGGGGGTGGCTCAGGGACTATGATGGGATTGCCTGCTCATCAGAGAGCTCTCAGATTGGCTCCGAGTGCTGGGCGCCTCCACAGAGGCGGGTTAGAGAAGGGAAAATCAGTAACAGTATGCGAAATATCTAGTACAAAGGATGCTTCTGTCACTCGCAAGAATTTGTTATGGGAACAATCCTGTCGCTCTGTAATTGCTCATTAGAGAACGTTTTGTTTCTCATTAAGGCGACATGAATAAGCGTCTAGTTGAAGGAGACAGCTGTAGAAATGTTCCACAAGAGACCTCTGGACACGATTCGGCACCAATTGCCAATTAGACATGTCAGTTTTAAGAGCAGAAAACAATATAGGACGGACACTGGGAAGATAGGGAGAACAGCGCTCATTCTCGGTTCCCAGAGCGGTTGCTTGCCCAGTGCTGGCCTCCTGACGCGCAGTCCCCGACCCCCTGGGTGACCCCGCCCGCATGGCCTCGAACCTGCAGCTTCCGGAGCTGGAGCTGAGCGTGCTCACAGGCCCGGGCCTCTCCCGCCTCTAATAAGATCATCCAGGGATCTGTGTAGACAAGTGCGCACCGACTGACCTTTGATACTGTAGGATTCTCATGTGAACGCCCACAGGACACACCCAAGTGATGCTGGACTTCACACCGGTGACTGTCCACGCCTCTGCCCCAGCAATGTGAGCTCCTGTTGACCCCCTTCCCTGTCCACTTAGTCCGCGACCTCTTGGTTGTGGGCGAGGAGCCCAGAAGCTCAGGTTCTGGAGGGCAGAGCCCAGAAGCCTCCACCCCTGGGCCTCCTAGGCGCTAGGGCTCACTTTTGTTTGGGGCACAGCGAATGGACAGAAAGGGCTGCTGACTGGTGCCTAGGCTGAAGTCCAGGGTAGCAGCTTCCACCAGAGGTGGCGCCGCCCGATTAGGGCAAATTTTCTTTCCAGTGGTCTACTGGACTGAAAGCTGTGGACAAACCGCAAAGGCCTGGTGGTGACCACTGGGGCGTGAGGTGGCGCTAGTTCAGGGGCTCCGGATCACACACTTCTGCAGGTCCACACCTCCCCTCCGTAGCAAGAGCACCTCCTGCGTGGCGGGGACTCGTGGCGCGAACCCAGCCTAGCAGGATTCCAGGCAGGGGACTCGGGCTCTGGCTGTGGGCTAGAGTTCCGGGTCATTCCTCCGGCCTTGCGGTGCGAAGAGGGTCCCCCTCCCTCCCTGACTCCCTTTCCTGGCCCTGGAAGCTGATCTTGGGTTTTAAAGAGTCCATTACTCTAAAAGCATAAGGCAAGGTTAGGTCTCAGAGGGAGACAAATATGGTTTCCATCTGATCTAGGCCACGCGGCGGTGAATACAATCGTGCGGATGTGGGAGGACAATAATCAGACAACTCTATCCAGCTCCAATTCGCCAACGATTTGGTGGTTTTAGGGATCTCGAAGACACTTTTTTCCTATCTCCTCCCCTCACCCCAACCCCCATAATACCCAAGACCTCTATAGGATTTAGTCAGTCTCTCTTTCAACAGATGCTACAATGTTTTGATCCGCGCTCCGGAGCTGAAAAGGTGCGGCAACCGGGATGCTATCTTTTCTTGCTTGTTTTCCGCCTCACTGATTAAGACACTAAGAAACTAAGGAATGATTTTATTCCCAGCGTCTTTTTTTCCTTCTTTCTTTTCTGTCCCCCCCCCCCCCCCCCCTTCCCCTTCTCCACAAAACAAACACCATCCCCCCAGTCCAATTGTCTCGGGGGCGGGAGAACA